GGGTTTAGGGTATAATGGAGAATCAAATGGAAAAGAAAATGGAAAATGAAATGGAAACTAGGGAATATATTAGGGTTATATTGCGGTTATATGGGAAGAATGGAAAAGAAAGGAGGTAAGTGTGACGAGTGACTATACGGCCTGTGGATGAGTCTGCAGTATGTGGCATTCAATGCCTTGAGCCTAGGAGCTTGCATAACTAGCCACCTGGATGCTTGATATGGTAGTTCTCCAAAATAAGGGGTACCCAAGACAGACCTATAATCTTAGTTAATTTCCATATGCTTTTGCATCCGCCGCTAGTCTAGCCATATCTGCTTCTATGTTGCTTGCATGCAAGCCTGGAAAGTGATGGACTTCCACCTCAAAGCCGTTTGCCCCATGTGGATGCTAGCATAAAAGCCCATATGAGCTGTAATCTAAACTCCTTAAAGGGGGATATAATAGGGGATTATATAGGGGACTACTATAGGGGATATTAAGGGGGATACTAGGAGTTTAGACAATGGCTCATATTGTCCCCTGGAAATCCCTAAGTAGCTGTTAAGGTTTAGGGTGTAGGGTTTACGGTTAGCTGTCGTACAGGATACCCCAAAACCTATTTATTCCGCTTGTCTGGGCTGCTACATAATACAGTTGCCAGAGAAATTTCCAAGGTGGTGCTTGTACGAGCTGTTCTTCGCGGACAGACAGGCGGTCACGCAGTGCAAGGGTTTCAATTGTGTTGATGGTGAAATGGTAAAATCCTTCATGACTTTAGCGTACTGTAGCCCCATTATTCCCAAGCTTTAGTGTACACCTAGGTTCATGCAGGATATACGGACGTTCGTGCAGGATTTTCAGAATCCGCTGTAATTGGTGAGAATAGCCCTGGAGTTCTTGCAGACTCAGAGTTCGAGTCTGAAGCAACCGGACACCCCCCTTACTTGGGGGTTTAGGGTTTAGGGTATAGAGTTTAGGTCCCTTGAAGCTAAAGCCTCAACACCGCAGGGTCTTCTCTGGGACGTGGCATGTGGAGAAGGGATCGTTGCCATGCGCGCACCTGGGTCCTTGTTAAGGAATTCAATCTAAAGTACTCTATTGGGAAACCATACTAATCACTCTATATATACATATACATATACCCATCATGGTAACTTAATCTCATGCCTATATAGCCCCTATGTAACCCCAGTTTCCATTTCATCTTCATTTTCTTTTCCATTTGATGCTCCAATATCGGGGGTCACTATGGACCCATTATGGTAAGTTAATTTTTAAATTCCTGAACCCTAAACCCTTAAGCCCTAAACCCTGAAAACCTTAAACCACAAAACCCTAAACTCAAACACCCTAAACCTTCAAAACCCTTAACAGCAACCCAGGCACCTTTGTCCACGAAGCGATGGGTCTTTGGCCAGTTCGACAGCGGGATTGCCTGGAACCTGTGTCTGGGTCGCATTTCAGGCTGTTTGAGGTGTAGGGTTTAAGGTTTTAGGGTTGTAGGATTTGGGTTGTAGGGTTCAGGGCTTTAGCGTCTAGGGTTTTAGGGTTTAGGGATGTAGAGTCTAGGGTTTAGGGATTATATAGGGCTATATACGGATTATATAGGGGGTTAGATAGGGATTATTTGGGGGTATACATCGGGCCCTGCAAAACTTGCAGATGAGGGTGCGGACGCAAACTCCTGCTCCGGGTATTCGGGGTCCGGAAGTAGAGAGATTCCTTTGTGTTGCTTTGAGAGCGAGGTGCTTCATTCGACTTACTGCGGAGCCGCTGCAGGGAGGGGGTCTATGCCCTAAGGGTCCAAGGCCCCAACAATAGGGTTTTAGGGCCGAAATACTATAATATTAATGGTATTTGGGCCCTAAAGCCCTCTTATTTGGGTCCTTGGACCCTTAGGGATAGATAAGCATCTCGTGAGAAGTGACCATTGGGCGCTATTAACGATTGATGCACCACTTTCGAAAGCAACGTATCTTCTGCAAGTACAGTCTCTTACACAGCAACCACCCATGTTGTTGGTTTCCAGAGTTGTTGAACAGCTGAGGTCGTCCATCCGAGTAAAGGCAGAAGCTGCCAGATGTACAGTAACAGAGGAGAAGGACATTTTGCTTTCAAAGCTGATGCTTGGCGGCAGCAGTCCCTTCGTCGTGGTGTGATGCAGTGTGCACACGTGAGATACAGTATGCGTGTCTAGGTAAGTACACATGCATATATGCATATGTATATGTGTTTGTGTGTACTGTGTGTGCGCACGGGGGTATGTGTCTGGACATAAACGTACCTAAGCAACGTGCATATCTGCATATTTGTATATACACATGTATACAGCATGTACACGTATATTTATATATACATAACTCCAGATGCCGACCAAGACTTCCACTCCTTCACACGCATTCACCTCTACATAGGTGTGTATATATACATATATAGATATGCATATAGAGGTATGTATACAATATACAGATGTATGACGCATGGCGCAGCCCCACAGCCCCATGGGGCCATGCAGAGCCATGTTTCTGTGTATTTGCCTTGTCAAGGAGGATACCGCGCGAGCCCAATACCCCTCAATTAGGGAATAGACCAATAAATCATATTAGGACTACTTTGTTTAAGGTATGTTCCGTATTTTAGGGGTAGTGGGCCCACTGGGTAACGCAGGGCATTCAGGGCACAAGAGAGAACATACTGGCTTGCCCCCATGCGCAGCACTGCGGCCATATCTTAAGTCTTAATTCACCAGCCGCCTTATATCCCCAGCTAAGGAAAACACAACCTCTCAACATCTGAAAAGCTTACATGGGCATTTCAGAGTGGAGCCTATTGGGAGCTGTCATCTCTTGGACTTGGACCCTCTGTAATTATCCACTCGGACCTTCCCAATGCCCATATTAATAACGGCTATATCCCACAAATTTGGGTTTGAAGGCTATCATTATGGATATTTGAGTGGTCCAGGTAGATTAGAGGGCTGGTTTTCACGAGCCTTAAAGGTAGTACCTCTATCTACTGGAGAAGTATTTCCCTGGGGCTCCATGTCTGTCAATAATACCTGGATTGGGTCCCAAAGTTTAGAAATAGTACTTACATTGGGCTATTTAGCCTTAGGGTTGTGGAAGAGGCGTGCAGTAGGCTGAGGCCGGTATGACTCGTAGATTTGGCTCTGCTAGATGTTCTTTCAGAGTGTGCAGGTTTCATGGGTTCCCGTACTAGTCCCCCCTCTACTACTCCCCTAAGCTAGCCCCTTAATTAATTTTGATTAAGCCTAACTATCCCTAAACGACCTTAATTTAGGGCGGAACGCAGGGGGGCTGTGTAGCATAGAGCGGGGTTAGTAGGGGAACCCATGAAGGTTTGGAGATTTAGATCCTAAACTACTGCTTTTTATGATTATTATTAATCACTACCTTTGCCATTGTTTCTACCAACATTACCATTTGTTGGGTACATCAGCATCAAGAGGTTTCTTGTTTTGAGCGGCATAGAAGTGCAATATCCCTGTGGTATTATCGAGGTGCCTTGAACCTTAAACCGGGTACCCAGGAAGCCCAATATCCCCCAATTAAGGTATATACCATAAATCATACTAGGAACCCTAAACCCTAAAAACCTAAACCCTACACCCTTATTCAAAGGGTATTGGGCCCACTGGGTAAGGATGGAGTTCGGAAAGAACTGCATCACGGAGTTTGAGCAGAAGATGACCGCCAAGGTGCCATGGGTTTAGGGCTTAGGGCTTAGGGTTTAGGGTTTGGGGTTTAGGGTTTTGGGTTTAGGGTTTAGGGTTTAGAGTTTTGCGGTTTGGGGTTGGGGTTAGAGTGGGTTGCTGTTGAGGAGCTTGGTTGGCTTTATGATAGGGTTTAGGGTTTGGGGCTCTGATAAGGCAACCCCATTATTTCCTATTTACCCATATTATGGTAAGTTAATTTAAGTTCCTGAACAGTAAACCCAGTAAAGTGTAAAATTGATCCTAGGGCTGAATGTGTTGGGCATTGGGTACTTGGGATGTGGTATTATAATGGTTGTACAGGTTTTGGGCAAGTATGCTATGGTTGTGGGATATCTGGACCCTCATGGTTAGGGAAAGCCTGAGTCTCCAGAGACAGCTGGAAGCAACCCACAAACTTGAGAAACCCTAATTAGACCCTGCAACTACCCAATACTACGCCAAGGGACCCCATAACTCCATACGCCAAGGGACCCCATAACTCGCATTTTCTGGGTACTTGGAGGGTCTAACCTAAACCCTTAATCCTAAACCCTAAACCACAAATTCGAGGCCCCAAACTTAAACTCCAGCATTACAGGTCCCAGCCAGGATGCTTGGGCCTGTGCTGCGGAAGGCCAGGTAGCTCCGCTCTTCGTAGGGCTTCGGGTTGCCATGAAGCTACGGTTTACGGTTTATAGGGCTTATAGGGTGTGGGTGTAGGGGTTTAGGGTTTAGGGGCGTAGGGTTTGGGGGTTTAGGGGTTTTGGCTAGGGTTTAGGTTCCTCAATAATCATCGATAGTATGGCCCTATATTCCACGTATAACGGTAGTCTAGGGTGCCTCAAATAGATTTGTGAACTTAGGAATGAGATCGGTACTTATTTAGGCCCGGCAGCATGGGTCACGGCACGGTTCGGGCGTTGTCAGGATTGCCTAGGCTGAGGCAACACAGAAAAATGCTAGAGGACACTGCAGCGGACGATACTCAGGCTTTGAGAATTTCTCTGGTGGCCGAAGCATGTTGTGCCCAATCCCCTTAATAAACTATTTATGAAGAGTAGATTCATCGGCCCCTGGGTCTTGCGTGCGCCGAGTCCCTTCCTAAAGTTGCGCAAGCTATCTGAGGCTTCCATACTGTTGGGGGGGTGGGGGCGGTGAGAAGGAAGTCACTATTCCGGGGGTATGTAAAGGAGTTGTAGTTGGGAAATTGTCGGCTTCGGTTCAGGTTTCGTGGTGCTTCGAAGTAGCAAGTTTTAATGAGGATGGAGCTTAGGTCATTCCCCCCTATAGTAATAGCTCCCTCATCTGGATATAATAGGGCCATATAAGGCTGTAATATACCTACAATAGCCCCTTGTGGTACCCATTACTGGGTGGGGGATTGACCCAAGATGTAGCTATGTGTATTTGTTGCAATGGTGTCCGGGTGGCAAGGAGGTTCGACCTCCAAACCCTGAATCCCAGATCCTACGCCGTGCCTCCAATATGCCCAGCCTGGCCATGTCAGAACATGAGGACCCTTTGGGCTTGTGCCCCTTTCGAATCCCCATACAGCCCCGGAACCCTAAACCCTGCATACTATGTAGCTTCCATCTTTTTCCACTATGCCTATGCAATCCCTTTATAAGTTCCATATACCCCTAATTTCGCCCGAAACCCTAAACCCCTAACACCTATAACAAGTGTACCCCTACAATTTGGGGGACCTAGAGTCAGGCTTTTTACCCCGAATTTTGAGGACCCTAAATCCTGAACCCTTTTTCGTGACTAGAATCAGGCGGCATGCATGAGGGACAAGGAGGACTTCGAGCGCCTACGGGATGCCTGCGACATCATGGCCAAGCTGCGATGCCTTCCGGTAAGGGTTTAGGGTTCAGGGCTTAGGGTTTCAAGTATACAAATATACCCACATTGGGCCTTAACGTCTGTAGATTTTATCAGCCTTAGGATCTGTGGATCCTCAGGGTTTTGTTAGCCTAGAAGGTGTCGGGGGTTAGGGCCAGCGGGTTTAGGGCTTGGGGTTTGTAAAAAGGCGATTCGGCTGCCCCTACCCATGCAGGAGTCACATGATACCTAGTTGCTGGGTCATGATTTTGGGGTTTGGCCCTCAATATAAGCCTGGTTGTCAGGATTATGTTCCGTTTTGGAGTACTCTAAACCTTAGGGGGTATTATGCCAGGGCGACAAACACGGACAGTTATCTTGACAACCTGCGATATGGGCTCAAACCAACAGGACAGCAGTCTTTGTAGGGCCCCTTCCGGGGTCTCATTTTTGGAGGATGGAAGGGCCCAGTAATAGTCATTACAATCGAGCACTTAGGCAGGTTCAGTGTTTGTGGCAGGGTGTTTGGGGTCTTCCACGGAAGGCTGGCCAGGCTTGCAAGTGAGGTAGGTAGCAATCCCTGAGGGTCCATGTACTCATTAATTGGGTACTTAGGGTTTTGGTCATAGTAACTATAATACAGGTTTCGGGTAAGTATATGGTTATTAGGTACTTGGACCCTTGTGGAATGAGCGAGAGTGTCATTTTGGGTAGTGCAAGCCCAATTACAGTACAGCCCTAATGCCTTAGCACTACGGGTCCACTTATGGCGATCGCGTTGGACGATGATGTGGGTCCCTATCTAGGTTGTTGCCCGCTTCGGGAAGAGCATCTGAGGCCCCCTACGTAGGCCTTACAGATCCCTACAAAATTAAGCCCCTTCCAAAACCCTGGGCTACAAAACTCAAACATCAATTCCTAAACCCGAAGAGCTCCTTGAGCCAAAACCTCAGACCCCAAACTCAATCCCTACACCCGTAAACCCTCTTTTAAGCCCTCGCACTTGTCATTTTTCATGTCTTAACCGTTTGGTTCTCTATCATTTGAAATATGCTTGAGATAATTTCCTCAACCCTATTATCCCCGTATTATATAGTCCCTATCTCAACATCCCATAGAAGAGGACGCCTCCATTTGGGAAAGCTCCGAGTAGCCTAAACCCTAAATCCCAAATCTTAGATAATCTCTGAACCCTAAACCGGAACTCCCATGCCTAAACTGCTATATCACCCCAGTTTCCAGTCAATTTTCCTGGTTCTTTTTCATGCGCTTCCTCCACGATTGGTCTCCAAACAGGGAGCATATAACCCCAACTTCAGCCCTAGCCTCTAAACCCTAAGCCCAAAAATTCAGTAACCCCCAAGTAACCTACACCCTTTAAGCCCCACAAACCTTACAAGCCCTACAAAACCCTGTAAAACCCCATACAGCCCCAAATTTCCAAACCCCTGTATAACTTCAAAATTTCAGCACACCCCAGGTAGCGGTGCGCACATCAATCTCGCCAGCCTGGAGGGTGGATTCGGGGAGTCGGCCCGGGGCCCTGATCACCGGGGTGGGGTGAGTCATGGGGCCGGGGTGGGGGGTACAGGGTTTTGTACGGCTTTTTAGGGGGTAGGGAGGTGGAGCTTTGCCGGTTTTAGGGTTTAGGATGTTGGTGGCTTTGAGGGTTTCCGATTTAGGGGTGGGGCTTTGGGGTTCTGAGGTTTAGGGGTTAGGGGCGGGGTTTTGGATTTTGCAAGGTTTAAAGCTTCACCGCTTCCCTTGTTCCTTGTGTCTTACAGGGCGTTGGGCTTAAAGGGCGGAGTGGCCCACATGTTCGGCCTTTTTGGGGGGTTTAGGGGCCTAGCGGTCGAGGATTCTGGACATCGGTTGGGGCCTCGGATTTGGGAATTGGGGTGTAGGATCTGAGCCCTAAATCAGTACTGCAAGAGGATAGTCTGAGCAGTTCGGATGCGCTCTTGAGGTTGGGGGTCTAGGGACCGGTTCCAGATGGTCGAGCAAGTAACGGATGCTAATAATAAGTAAGATTTGCAGCCTCTAGGGCCCAATGTAGGTGTTATTTGTATACTAGGATCCCCAGGGTCGTTGGGTGTTTCTAGGATATCAGTGAGTCAGGGGCCTATGGCAGGAAGCCTCCTTAACTACCTATGATTTGAAGAAGCCGAAGGGGCTTCCGAAGACCTTCCACACCCCTTCCCGCATGATCCCTGGCGGGCTTACCAGAAATGGAGGGCCTAGGCAGAGTGAAAATCAAGTTACACTCAGATAGAATCTTGTGGCCACTGACACTATCTAGTATAGATACGATTATCGTTTCGAAGTATACCAACCAAGCTAAGGGCTGGGGTTGTAGGGTGGGTGAAGGAGTTTAGGTTTGAGGTTTAGGGCGTTTGCCATGTACCAGGGGAGTAGTGGTCGTAAGCAGGGTTTTAAGGTGTAGGGCTTGGAAATGTACATGGCAGCCAAGGTCCTGACGATGAGCCCTTAATATGGGCCCCTACCCATTTCCTGGGTCTGGGGTTTGTAGGGTGTTGAATAAATGTGTAAGGACTCTAGATGTGAAGGCCCATGCTGGGGCCCATACTTGGGACCTTACTTAGAAGATGCAAACAGAGGGGCAAAAACGTAAAGCACTGGAAGACGTCAGGGCCCGTGATTGACCATACCCTTTCTTCACGCACGTTCCTTGCTTGGAGTATTTCGGCTGGTGCAAATCTCCACAACACTAGAAATACAAGTCGTGCACGAACAGTAGGTGTAAGGAATTGCTGGGGTTGAACCTTTGGCAAAGCTCTTGCTAGCACAACTGCCAATCGAAAGCCTTTAAAGCCCTAAGCTGTGCGCAGCCCTATTCACAAGCAGGCAGCCAGCTGTTGCCCCACATGCCTGCAGGGAAGTACCTACCATGGCTGACGCATTACTATTGTTAATACGCATCTTTGGAATCTTGTGGACGTGTGCAGGGCACACTTGTCAAGGCAAGAATGATAACAGCTACGTGTTTTGACATCATACATACGGCTGCCCAATGTATGATGATCCGCATCACCTGCTTTGTTCTTGTTACTTACAACTACCTATTGAGGATTCATTAGTAGGGAATACAGGAACATAATCTCTATATAATACACTCCCTTATGCCACAAACCCCAAACCCTATATATTCCCTCATGCTCTACTAACCTCCAGTAAGACTATCGTTTATGGGGACTGTAGATGAAGACGTCTCGAAGGCCTTGCACATTGCGGCAGCAGCAGCTGTAGTGCCAGGCTCAGGTTCAGTTTCTTTAAGATGGAGATATTGGGCATTTAGGGTTTAGGGTTTAGGATCTCTGGGCAGGGTTCTAAGATTCTACCTTCGAAAGCGCAATCCAAGCCATGGTTTTGCCTCTGTCAATCATTACCACTACTTTTACTACTGTTTCCACTACCATACTGTTGCTAATGTCGTACTATTAATTAGTTTTATCAGTATCATGACAAGTACTATTGTTATACTGCAGCCATCGCTGGTTGCCGCACTGAAAAGGACAAGGACATGCAGGAAGGTGTTCACTGAGCTAGATGAGCTACTGTCACTTTTAAGGTTGATTGCGGTTTAGGGTTTCGGATTTAGGGCTCAGGGCTTAGCGACCGGGATTTAGGCTTGAGGGTTACCAGTGAGCAGTGGGGGTGGTCGTAGGGATCCCTCTTGATCACTACCGTAGTTTAGCATGGTGCTTAACATAATACCTCATAGAAACTCATGTCCGTTGACTACACAAGTAAATGTTGACCGTAGCTCATATACTTAGTTATCTCTACGGGTCTAAAAGAGGCGGAAAGCCTGAATTATGACAAAGTTGTATTTGGTGTACTGCTATAAGATGAGATGGTTCTCCATGTATAAAGCTTAGTACAAGGTCTCTTCTAGGGCATATGCTTTGTTAGTTATAATTAGGTGGAGCGTGTTTACTCTTGTGAAGTTCCTAAACACCCCAGCCCCAAGGATTGGCATCCACAATGAATATCTCCTCAGTCTTTTTTCATAGTGGTATCCAGAATTATATACATTGGGTGATGCTGCAGAGGAACAATTATAGAAAGGCGACAGGACAAGTCGAGCCTGAACAACTACCATGGCCGCTTCATAAGCCCTGTAGTTAGACTTGTCTAAATCTTGTAAGCAGTGCAAGATTTGAAGAAAAATGCACAAAGACCTCTCGGCCAAGGATGGCAGTGCTAGATGTGCGAGAGCCGTGGAGATGCTTGTACGCCGCAGGCTCAGATAAGAAGGGGCCTAGATAATTACCAATACTATATAAGGATTTATAGGGATGGTAAAATGATATTGGGAATTATTTAGGCCCTTGTAGTACTGTAGTAGGCTACTACGGAAATGCCCAGTACACTCCCTGCCCCTCCCCCAAGGTGACATGGAACCGCACAAAGCCCTCTTTTGAAATAAGTTGTCTTTACAATGCGCCTTTTGGGGGTTCCATGTTGGTAGGGTGCAGGGTAGCGAAACCTATGCCACTACAAGCAGAAACGACATAGTTGTTGAGCTCAACGGGGCCTGCCCAGAGCATCGGGGCGTGTGGAAAGGGACAGCCCGCATTTATGCAAAGACCCAGGATCTTGCTGAAAGCTTAACGCTTTGGTCTCCCTCTGCCCAGAGGAACACATAGACACATCAACATTTGAATCTTTCCTTAAGGGTCCAAGTACCTAATAATCATATACTTACCCAAAACCTGTACTATAGTTACTATTACCCAAAACCCAAATACCCAATTATTGGGTACATGGACCCTTAGGGATTTGAATCTTTACCAGGCTCCCATGGATGACCCTCGGCCATAAGCAAGCTGCCGCTGAGGCATGGGCATGGATGTCAACGCACAGGATGATGCGGGTGAGACCCCCCTGCATTGGGCGGCCATGACAGGCCCTTGCCATACTGTTGATACTAGAAATTCTGCATGACCTTAGTATACTATAGTACCATAATTCCCAAGGTATAGGGTACTTAGGGTCAGGATTTTTAGTATCCACCGTAGTGTTGCACTGTTTGGGGTTTAGGGAATGTAGAGTCAAACGGAAAAGCAGACTGGGAGTGATTGGGATGTATAGGCTTCAGGGTATGGGGTTGACTTGCTGGTTGTTGAGAAGGGAATCAAGGAGTGTAAGCTACAACTTTATGGGGGAAAGATCGAGTAACGACTTAGCACGTGAAAGCTGAGCAAAAGGCGCTTGAAGGGAAAGTCACGCTCTGGAATCGTGCGGTGCATTTGCAGCCAACTGCAGCTAAGGGTTCTGGTGCAGGGCTCTGATGAATCCGATTGATTCTAACACAGGACTTCTCAACAGACACATGCTGTTTTAGAGTATGCAGGGTGCCCTAAGTTAGCTGAACACTCCCAACCTCGCAAGCAGAACTCAGCTTGTTGAATCCTCGATCCTTAAAGGCTCCGCAACCCCTTTGCCCTTAAGATGGACAGTCTCAACCCCGACAGCTGCAGCCACATAGGTAAGGCATCATGAAGTAGGTAGTCCCAAAAAGGTATCCTTCATTTTGGGAAGCCCTCATATTTACAATTCCTGGCACTGAAAACCCGAAACCCTAACCCCTAAACCCCCCTAATCCCTAAACCCCTAAACCCTAAAATCCTTCTCACCGCTAGGCCGAGCTTGGGCTACAGGATTTCTCCTGCGGAACGGCTCGGACCCGTTGCTGGCCAGTTGGTCCGGTGCCGCTGACACGCTTCAGTCTGCGTGAAGGATTATAAGAAAGAAGGTAAATAAATGTGTAAGTAAGTAGGCAAGTAAGTAAGTAGGCAAGTAAGTAAGTGAGTGAGTAAGTAAGTAAGTTAGTTAGTTAGTATTTGCCGACGGATCGAAGTATACAAAAACAATGCCTGCATTAGCCCCTAAAGCCTGTATGTTACCTACATTGGGCTATTTGGATTCCCAGGGTTTCTCATGGGATCTTATGGGTTAACGAGCCATAGCCATTGGCTTTTCAGTTTCTTTTCCTCCTGCTTATAACTACCCGGAATCTCCGAGTATTGGTTTATGGCGTCTACCGTTTGGCATTCCTGACCCTAAACCCTAAACCATTCGCGTGCCCAGGGGTTGTTCCTTGAAGTCGTTGCCAGATGGCAAAGTCAATTCAGGGAACTCGACAGCTATAACCCAAAGGGTCCATGTAGGTATATGGTATATAGGGTTTAGGGGTTTAGGGTTTAGGGGTTTAGGGTTTAGGGATATGGTATATACTTAGGGCCCAAAGGGGTTCCCATATACCTACTCTAAGGCCCAAGTGTATACCATATAGCTACATGGACCCTTTGGGTAAGTTCCTCAACCAAAGGCGAGCTTGTGTGTGCTGGCAGGCTTCCGGCCCTTTGACGTTTGCTGCACAGGGCTGGCGCCTGAGGGAGCTTTGTCTTTGAGATCTAGGCTTGATAAAGGATTCGAGCTGTTGTGTCTGTGTGTGTCAAAGGGGGGTCACCAGTATAGACACCAAAATATATCATAATCCTTAGTATGGGGACCCCATATAGGAAACCCCGATTTTGTGAAACCCGCAGATGCAGTGTTTGGGATAGCCACGAAGGACTGGCGGTAAAGTTGTTGACGTGCCTTCCCAAAGTACACAGCCAACACCGCGTACCCCAAAGAACCACATAAAGAAATCTGCAGCATTTCAGCCTTAATGGATGCTGCTGCAAGAGCTGCTACCTAAACCAAGACAACCCTAATCCCCAAAGCCTGTGCCCCCAAATCCCAAACGCTAGTCCGAGATCCCAAACCTTAGCCCCCCAAAGCCCAAGCCTCCCTGAGAAAGGGCATTATTTAGGGTTAAGGGTTTAGGGTTTAGGGTTATTATAGTCCTAGGAGCCTGAGGGTAAAACTGCACACCTTAAACCGTAAGCTCCCAAACCCTAAACGCTGAGCCCCAAAATCACAATCTTATGTCTTTTAGAGTCAGGCCAGCCGCGTTCCTCGGAGTGGATTCGAAGCAGCCTGGATGCAATTGCGTGGACCTTCCAAACACCTATCATAATAGCCACTAACCCTAACATGATAAGTGCAAAGGCTATTGCTCGCGGTATTGGGGAGGTCCAGGCAGATACACCAGGAGACTGTCTTGGGTTTAGGGCTTCAGGCTTATATAGTTCGGGAATTCAGATTCAGTGCTTAGGCTTCAAGTTTAAGATTTGCATGGGGTTTCAGCGTTTAAGGTTTGCATGCCCCAACCGGTTTGTAAAAGGACAGTAGAATTATCACATGATGTCAGTTGGGTTCTTAATCTGGGGCTTGGGGTTTCCAAAAGCCACCTTTTAACCACGCCCCGCGAGTTTTTGCTAAACGCCCAGGGTTCTGTTCGCTCTCCACGTCCTCAAGCAGAGAGTTTAGGCTTCAGAGAGTAAGCTCAGGAAGAACTTACCCTAAGCCCCAAACCCTAAACCCTAAACCGCGTCCCTTCTGGGTGCTGTAGACTCAGGCAGGCCGCATTATTGAGGGATCCCAAGAACGGACCGTAGCTGACCAGGAGATTTGGGCTGCCGCAACCCCCAAAAGTCAGGACCTTGTGGCGGTCATTTGGTAGCTATAGAGTCCTTATTTGGGGCTGAGGCAACCAAAATCCTCTTGCACCCTAAACCCTAAACCCAACCTACCATTGCATTCTTCCCTTTCCTGGGGAACCTTTGTTTTTTTTTCTACTTCCTGCCAGTTTCCTGCGGACCCGAATTCGAACTATGCAATTCTCTTGCCTTTTGGAATTGAAGGTCCCAACTCGCTGGGGCTCTTTCACCGTTCAGCCTAAGTGCTATACCCGCCCGAAACTGATCTTAGAAACCCTGCCAGTGCTTTTGTTACGTACATTTGTGCTACCAGAATGCGCCAAGAGGATATTCTCCGCTACCCTACGAATTGCAGCATGCTTGACATGCGGGCTCCAAAAAGAACCAGTCGGGACACTCAAAAGGATCCAATGGCTACTGTATGCTGGCAAGTGCTCGATTCCCGCGCCTCTCCTTTGTGTTGCCAAGGAAAGTCTATGAGATCCTCAAAGGTTGGACACAGGCTGGCATCGCTGCTAAACCATTCGGGTGGTTGTCAAAATTCAGGTACCTTTTTGGATCCCTATTATAATACGGCACCTAATATTTAGGGTACCCCTAATTGGACCATAATTTTAACAACCACCCCAATGTGCCTCCTTCCTGCTTTGTAGGCACTAGGCATGGAGGCCCCAGCTGCCCTTGTAGGCCTATAAGGGCGGATCTAGGAATGACGACTCAGGGTGAGTTTGAGGGCCCAAAGATATGTTGGTTTCAAGTGGGGCTTTTTGGGGTCTGTTCGTTTGAGGCTCATGTGTTCTTCTGATCCAAGGCCCCTAATCCAGCTTGTTGGTCTTACACACTTTAAAGAATCTATCGACATGAACCCCTGGGTTCCCGGATGGCACTCCAATCTCGACAAGATCCTTACAGAACACAGTATGGCTGATAGATATGCATATGGTGGAGAAGCACAACGAAAATGCAAAATTAAACGGAAGCTGCTATTCAGGCTAAATGTATATTCATGCCCTTTCTGACCTTGAGGCTTGACCCTAAGCCCTAAACCCTAAACCCTAAGCCCTGAACCGCTCTGCTCCACATTGGTTGGCAGGCAACAGTAACTGCTGGTCATGCGGCCTTCGCCTTTGATGACGAGGAAGCCCAGGGCTTTGCTGAATAGTAACTGAATATTAGGTTTATAGTGTTTAGTGTTTAGTGTTCAGTGGTTAGGGCTAAGTTTTTGTTTTCCCCCGGTGGGGCGGGAGGGGTGGTGTTGGGTTCAGGTTCAAGGTAAATTGAATACGAAATCCCAGAGTTGCACTCATAATCTAATCTACACCAGGAAGGTGCAGAGATGGGGGCTCAGGAGGGACGGTTTGGATGTGAGATCTTTGGGTTTATGATGCCATGGGCTCTTTACCTCATGCACTTTGGTAGCTAAAGCTCAGGGGTCTGGGAGGACATACTTCCCTATTTGCGGTGTTGCGCACCTAAGGGCACAAGATAAGACTAGATATTCTGGTGAAATGGCGTAGTTGAGCAACAACATCCTGTATAATCCGCAAATCATGCTGCAACAGTAGCTTTATTTTCACATTGGAGCCCTTCCAAAACCTAAAGCTGTGCATCAACAGTATCCTGCCCTTTGCACAATTGCGCAGCAAGACTGGAGATTTTGCCCATCCTGCCATTCAAAAGCTGTTTTAGGATTCAGGGTTTAGGGTGTTGTGGCTCATCGGGCTCCTATAAGTCTCAACAGGGCTAGTTTCACTCTCTTGTACGCTGCATCTTGCTTGGTAGCAGAACCAAGAACTTCTGTGCTTAAATTGGAAGTTAAGTCCCACTCTGTGATGTGGGTAGCATCCACTGCTGGAGTGCCCTAGAAGGGGGTACCCCACTATGAGGGACAGCCACAAGGACTCAAGACTTTTTTGTCTGCACATATCCTAACGAGAAACAGGACTGAGGGCCATGATCTTCTAGAGAGTTTTGCTTCCAGGCTTTCAATGCTCGATGTGACACACCTTTGCGAGGGATCTTCAGACATGTGCAACCTTTCCAAAAAAAAGAGTCTTGATGCTGTAGCATCTTGGAGGCATGAGCGTAGCGCACAATTCCAGAGCCAACTCCACACAAGGGATTGTCCATGATTTTTCTGAGGATTATTTGCATATCTACACCCTTTTAAATGCCTTGTGCTCGGGTTACAGAAAAATCGCTCGTTGCCCATGCCTACAAGGAGAAGCAATATAGGCACTCCTCAGATGCCCATTCACAAACATCACGGGAACTACAGGAGGGTCTCTGACTCAGCCTTACATGCAGGATGTTGATCGCTCTTGATCCAGGCGGGGACCTCATGAAATCAGTATACCAGTCGGAGAGAGATCTGATCCTTTAGGCATGCATGGCAATCCATTCTCTCTGAGATAAGGCAGACAGTCAGAGTTGTCAACCCCTAAACTCTGTATGGCCCGTATATAGCTCCCATATCCCTATATGAGCTATAGTCTAAACTCCTTAAACGGGGGTTATATGGGGGATTATATAGGGGTATAGTATAGGGGTTATTAAGGGGGATTCTAGGAGTTTAGACCATGGCTCATATCCCTTTACAGTAGTTTCCATTTTCTTTTCCATTATTTCTCTACGATACAAACCCTAAATGCTTGTGCCTGTGCAGCTTTAGCCAGTCGAGCAAGGCTCGTCAGAAATCAAGGCATTTTGGGTTACCCCAGCCCCCAAAATGTGGACCTTAATTCTTATAGTCATATGATAGTTATAGGCTCCTTGTTCTGGGGGTTGGGGTAACCCAAAATCCCGTCATTCCTCAGTACCAAAGCTGTCGTCCCTGTACATGCGAAACCTCAACCTTCCCCTTGGCCGCCAAGACTCATGAGAGCTATAGTCTAAACTCCTTACAGGGGGGTTGTACAGGTGATTATATTGGTGATTTAGGATTTGCAGTTTAGGTTTTAGTGTTCAGGGTCTAAACTCTCACTTAAATGGGGTTTCTGTAGGTGTTCCTTAAGGAGGATACTAGGAATTTAGACTTTGACCCATGAATCCCTAAGTCGACGGTGATCTCTCAGAAGCAGAGATCCCATGCTCAGTGCCGCAAACACTTGAGTTTCTTCTGCAAATTCCCAAGCAATCCAACGGTCAAATCGATAACGAAGGGTTTAGGCTTCGAACCCCAAAAGTTCTTACGGCCCATCCCTGGGGCTCCATGCCTGTTAATAATACCTACACTGGGGTGCAAGGCATATAAATGGCACCTAGCTTGGGCTATTTGGAGCCTTAGGGTATAGATCCGGACAACCCAAAGCCCGAGAAACCTAAACACTGGAGAGAGGACCCTAAGGGTCCAAGTGCCTAATAATCATATACTTACCCAAAACCTGTACTATAATTACTATTGCCAGAACCCTAAGTACCCAATTATTGGGTACATGGATCCTTAGGGGGACATCTAAATCTTAGCAATGGCAAGTCCAGAGGATGAAAAAACCTTTGAAAGCTAAACCAAAAGTAGCCAACTCCCAGCCTTCCCAGCACAAGGAGTCATCATGAGGAGAGCTCTTAGCCCGTAGCATTTGAAGCCACAGAAGACTACCCAACAAATGCCAACGCACCGTTCGTGATGGGGTTTCAAACTCAAATTCAAACCCCTGGGGCTCCAGATTGGGCCGCAGAGTCTTTAAACAGTACCCACATTGGGCCCTTTGGAGCCCTACTGAACATTGGACATCACGGTTCAGGGTCTAGGAGATACGGTTTTTTATCAGCTCAATCAAGGACCTGTGCAGTGATTCTGATGGATAAGGGGTTGGCCCTTTCCCTATTGGTCCATGTACCCAATGTTTGGGTATTCAGGGTTTGGGGTAACAGTAATTGTAATACAGACTTTGGGCAAGTATATGATTATTGGGTACATGAACTTTTAGGGTTTTTATCACTTCAGAAGAGACCCAGTGGACAAAAGCCCAACATTTTGCTAACATCCGAACCCCCTGACATGTGCGCAGGCGCGCAGCTCCAGCTTAAAGAGCAACTGAGGGCTGACGACACCTGGCTAGGTCTGAATGAGCTAAGCTACAGTTCAGCTTCCCAGAAGTACTGCTAACAGGATATTGCTTATAGACTTTGACAGAAGGCCATGCAATGTAGACCCCTGACCACAAACTCGCAGTAGTGTTGCGTCGGACCAATGCCTGAAACCATGCAAGAATCCGGCAGCAGGTGGTTCAACAGCCCCTTTGTTAAGGGAATATCCATGCACCCGAAAACCTTAAACCCTAAACCATTCTGCCAAGCCAGGGCATTTTTTCTTCTGCTGGACCACCTGCTGTCGTCTAGTCGCAAGAAACAATGGAGTGTGTATGCCAAGTAGCTACCCAAAACACGCGCGCAGAAGCTCGGTTCGGGCTGGGTCCCTGTCACAATGTTTTCAGAATCTCAGGTCCTGAAAGAGGACCTTGTTATGTGCCGCTGCGAAAATGCCACCACCTCTAGGAGATTCCTATGTAAAACTACCTTAAACCCTAAAACCTAACCCCTAAACCTTAATCCCTATCCCTAAACCCTAACCCCTAATCCCCATCCCTAAACCCTAACCCCCTGAACCTTAATCCCTATCCCTAAACCCTAACCCCTAAACCTTAATCCCTATCCCTAAACCCTAACCCCCAAACCCTAAACCCTAAACCCTATCCCTAAACCCTAACCCCCAAACCCTAAACCCTAATCCCTAAACCCTAAGCCCTAATCCCTTAACCCTAAATATATCCAAGACCTCACGTTTTGTTTGGCGGCCGGAGCTGCTTGGAACCCAACACCTGATCAGTGGAGGGTTTAGGGTTTCAGGGTTGAGGGTGTCAGGGTTTAGGGCTTAGGATTTAGGGGTTTTGGGTTTCAAGGTTTAGGGTTCAGAGTTTAGGGGTTTAAGGTTTAGGGGCTAGGGTTTAGGGTTCAGGGGTTAGGGCTTGGGGTTTAGGGCTTAGGCCTGGATAAGGGCCCCCGTACATAGCAGTGTCCCTAAACTGGGGGAACCCAATGTCGACATTAAATCAATATCATCCTTGTTGCGGACCCCCAGAGAGGTACCCGTAATTTTGGGATACCCCCAAACACCTCCTATACAACCCAAGTACCCACCAGACCATGCAGCATGAACCCATGAAGCATCATCCCTATTTGTCCGCAAAGCTTGAGCAGATCAAAGGACGTAGGCATATGTGAGCAGACCGAGCATGTCCACGCAGCCATCATTAGAGTCCTAATGCATCTTATCTGGGGCAAGCGTTTGGCCGCAGAAGGAAGGTTGTACCACAAAGTGCCAGTGTTGATGTCTGACCAGGAACTGCCTGAGATTATCCAACACGACAGGTAGCTTGCCATACGCAAGAAGTAAAGAAAGGCACTCCTCTCCAGTCAGAGGATCTTCACAAGCTAGGAAGTGTGTGGCAAAGCAGGAAAGTAGCAGCCATGGGTTTCAAATATGTCTTTGTACCGGCCTCGGCCAATGATGACATGCAGGAGCGCTCGGGCAATAGCCTTAGTTGTCTGAGCGCAGAAACCCTGTGGTTGGGCGCCAGCCTGCCAGAAGTGCAAGCATTCCTATCAGTCTTGGTCTTGCGACAAACTGGGTTGCTGTCACGGAACTTAATGTAAGTCACCATAATGGGTGTACTTACACATATATATATATATGTATATCGCAGTCGAATATGGTTTCCCTGATACAGTAACTTACATTAAGTTCATTAACAGCAACCCAGAAACCCTAAAGTTCTAAACCCTAAACCCTGAATAGTAGTTTGCAATTTATTTTCCATTATCCCTATATGACCCCCTGCAAAGATATCAGATCCCTCACGGGGAGAGAGAAGCTCGGAACGCTTGACGCAGGAGCTCGACTACGAATCGGACGTCAAAACCTTAGAGGAGGATCGCTTAGCCAACATATTTAGCATAACTTGCTGGTGCTTAAGGGAGAGTGAGGGGAGTGGATCCCTATAGATTCCTCACATGTACCCCTACGTCCCCTATCATATATATATATATCGTCACTCCCCCACCCTAAGCACCAGTAGGATAATGGCCCAACATAGACAGAAGGGACTGGATCCTTGGCTGGCTTTTTTATAGTGGAAATGGAAATGGGTATATATGCTGGGGTTACCCAGAAATGCTTGGAACTATTTCATTAGGCTGCCAGAATACTGTAGCAAACGCTGAGTTTATTGTTGGAGCATGTCAGGTAGAAGAGCTTCAAAAAGTGAATCTATTTAGTCAGAGGGCCCGAAGAGTGGGCTGCTGAGCAATCGAAAATTAAATAGAAACTGTGGTAATATGGGGCTTATACAGGGATCCAAGTATACTAATAATACCTACCTTGGGCCCCAAAGTCTACAAATAGCACCTACATTGGGCTGTTTAGAGCCTGAGGGTTATTAGCAGGTAACCCCAAGTCTGACACATTGCTCCGGGTGTTTGTGCGTTAAATGCCCCAAGCGTGCACGTCTCCGTTTGCGCCTTTCCATCTGGGCCTCTCAGACCTCTCGAAACCGCTTTTCCGTGAGTTTCTCATAGTTAGGGTTTAGGGTTTTTAAGTTTCCCATGCTTAGGGTTTAGGGTCCCTACATCATTTGATGGGGAGTTTGTCTTGTGCGACCAAGAACTTCTTCATAACTTGTTCGTATTGCTTGCTCACAGCACTCAACCCTCAACCTTGAACCCCAAACTCTGGACCCTCAGTCCTAAACCCTGAACCCTAAAAGCTAAATTCTAAAGCCTGCCTATAGACCCTGAACCCCAAAACCTGAGCTCAACACCCTGAATTCCAAATTCTGCAACCTAAACCTTTGACTCTGTACCCTAAAGCCTAAAACCTTAAAACCCAAACCCTAAGCCCTAAACAACTCCTCGTCCCGCCAGGACACCTTCAGGACTTTCGTCGAGCAGTTCTTTGCGAGAGCAAAAGCCTTGGCTGAGAGGGGTTACAGGCATTCTAGGAGTATGGGTAGTTTCCAAAATTAGGGTTCGTCCGATCTTTGTACTCCCAATTCTGGTAGTTTCCATAAACAAGGGGGACCCAACTATAGACCCACCAATATTATAGTCCTTATTCTAGGTACCCCCAAAAAAGTACCCCTAATTTTGGGAAACCCCCAAATATTGTGTCCGCATTTAAGCAGGTACCTAAAAGGAGTTCAGGAAGTTGGCAAAAGACCATCTGTTACATAGTTTGGAGGGGTCTAGAACTTGGGGTAAAATGGGGTTTATGGGTTAGGGGCCTAAATGACCAGACTGTGGTGGATCGCATGGGAAAAGACGATGGAAACTGGGGGTCATGCAGGAGTTTATAGGCCTTGGAGGTGCAGGTCGCTAGGGTTTAGGGTTTAGGGTGTAGGGTTTCAGAATTAGTTGTATGATTTGGGTTCATTCTGCTTCCAACGTTCAGGCTTCAAGGTTTTCGGCTTCAGCGTTAAGGGGCTAGCGTGTAACATTTGGGACTAGGAGATAACTTTTTGTAAGTTGGATCATAAAGAATTCAATACAATCAGGGGTATTCAGCTGTCATAATTTATGTTTCAGGCACTTTGGGACTAGGATTCCATGCTCTAGCTCAAGAAAAGTTGCTTTCAACCATAGCAACACCCGACTATGCTTGCATGGTTGAGAAGTTGCCCGGAAGCTTATCCAGTCCCTTCTCAAAGGACAGTAGTTTTTGCAGAGCACTTTATTTATGGGCCGCCACGTCAATTTGGGGGCGTGCATTCGGTTCTTTGGGGAGGATAGTTCTGTTGGTATCGTACCTGTACAGTTGCTAGGTGTGTAGAAGCAACAAACCAACTTCTGTACGCACATGGCCCCGCTATGTTCAGCCTTGTACCTCAAGTGATAAAGCCCAAACTCTCTTTTGTAGCGACCCACCTGAAAGGTTCCGTGGGGCAAAAAATGCTTTGCAGAACCTTCCTACATACCTGGAGGAGCCCCCCCCACCCCTAGTTTTGTGAGTCCTTGGTACCACTGCTGCAGGCTGGAGCAACGGCTGACCGTGAAGTGCTGCTGTGTGGAAGCTCAGTTGCTGAGCCCTCCAGCCCAACATGGTTTACTTTTTTCAGGAATCCACCTCTGAGGCTCTTAAGACTCTAAGGGCCCAAGTACTCAAACAGGATGTAATCAGGGCCCAAAGCTTCTGGATAGGAACCCCTTTGGGCCCAGATGATTTACTGTTTGGGTACTTGGAGCCGGAGGGCTTAGGGAAGGTTTTATCTTTGTGGGCCGAGGCTTGAGATCTCACCATGATGGTCCAAGAGCCTCAAGGGTCCAACGGGCTGCATATGCCTTCCATAGAACTGTGCAAGATCGGTTGTTTGGCATGGCTGTGTTCAGTAATGTTTCGCTTAGATTGAGCTGGATTGTGGAGTGGATAGGGGTTTGCTTTCGATTTCTCATGTAGCCCAAACATTGTATAGCTGTACATACCCTACTGTTGCACTAACCCTGAGGTTCCAAGTACCTAAGGATTTGGTATTTGGGTTTTGGGTAGTAATTAGTAATTATAGTGCAGGTTTTTGATAGGTATATGTAAGTACTTGGACTCTTAGAGCAGTGCAAATACATGTCACATACTCCTTCAGATTATGCCCAGCTTGCTATGCACGTTGGTGGTCACGTAGGTTGAGTCCAGCCCGCAAGCCGGTCAAGCAGTATGACTTGGACTGTACTCGCCAAAGCTTTAAGCCAAATACATCATTGAGCTCTAGACTCACTGTACCTTTGAGGCTTGCACGTGTTGACCTGGCAGTGGGCTGGACTCTAAGCCAAGAAAATTGTGGCGCAAGCGCAGCTTTTCTTCCAGCTGATCAGGAAGCAGCTGAAGGATCGTACCGGCGTGGACATCCAGGCGGGTCCTGCTGGAGCTGGAGATTTTCCCTGTCTTGACAGTTCCGTCCAGCACTCCCAACAAGACCACCCTGGCCTTTCTAGCAATTATATCTGCTTCATAGTAAGTCTAATAGCAAGAAGACTAGTAATAGTAACTATAGTAATAGTAGTAATTAAATAAATGATAATAGTAATAATAGTGACCCTATGTAGTGCTCGATCTGATCTCTTGTTGACCCCTGTGTATCGCCAGTGCCCCTAGGGGTATTCCCTTCGAATAATTCCCACATCACAGCGAACACTGCTGCTCGTTCGGATGCTGAGCCGCAAGTGAACATGCTCCATGCACCTCTGCAAGGAGAAGTCCGACAAGGGGGAAATGCCAAATGATGTCTTTAGCTCAGTTCAGGGTTGCCGAATGAATGATTGGGCAAAGATGGGCCCTACACACTCAATGTGTTCAGAATTTGCAAGAACCTAAAATACATTATCAAGTTTGTCAGCGGGAAGTTTGCGCAATCTGGGGAGGCCTTTCTTTGGCGGTCCGTAAGGACTGGATGCCTCCATTTCGGGCATTGTGATATACATGATACTGGAACTGGAGGGTTTTGCTTCTCTGGGGTGGGGCTAAGGGGCTTGCGGGTTGAGCTGTGGAAGGTTCGTACGATTCAGAGTTGAGTGAAGTTCGAGAGCTTTCAGGTCTAGGCTGTAGGCTTGCTTATGCTGACAGATGTTGATCTGCAGTTCTGCTTTGTCAGGCTCCTGCTTTACCAAGTGACCATCTGATGAAACTACGGTTCCATGTCCACCCTTCCCCAAAAACTAATGTGAAACTTGATGTAGCGCACTTCCAAAAAACGAGTTCTATATATCGAGCCTTCTGCTGGTTTCTAGATGAGTTTGGGGGAGAGACCTTGCTCTGAAGGCAAAGCACGAAGGACGTGACCGGGGCACATACCCTAGGTGGCCCCTCCGGCCCACCGATAGACATGTAGAAGGATCCTAATCAAATTACATACAATTTTTCTTTGAGGTCACCAGTTGTTGGTAGCGGGATCAGCTAAGAACCCGAAACTCCCTAAATCTTACTTCTAAGGTTAGAACCATGGGCCCCTAGAATGGGCCCTTAGCCCTTTGAGGGGCATTCTAGGGGCCCTTACAGGGTACCTATAGGGTATATAATAGGTATATAAAGACCCCAGGGCCAAGGGCCCATATTAGGGCCCATGGTTTTTACATGAGATAACTTCTCCCAGATGTTGGACAAGATTCTGTCCGCCAGCAGCGTGGAGATTTTCCCGGTGCAGCTGCCCACGAAGGAGACCTTGCCAGCTAAGAGAAAGACCCATCCGTTAGGGTCCAAGTACCTAGGTGATAAGTATTTTGGGCTTTATAGTTGGGTTTAGGGTTGGGTTTTGGGTTTAGTACTTGGGGTGTTTGGCGCAAAGAACCTATGTAATCGTCAGCCACAAACTATTTAGTACTTGGTTCCTTAGGATATGAGCAACATCATGGATCGTCTTTGAGTTCCTTTTTTTTATAAGGATGGATGCTAAGCTTGTAGAGCGGCTCCAGCTTTGCGAAAAACACCCATCCTATGTGCAAACAGACCGAGGTCGCTTTACAAGGCAAACAGAGCCAAAAAGATCCCAGCCTTGCACCTTCACCACATGTTACCTGAATTTTGGGCTCATTTTCGCAAGCCGTACCAGTTTAATCTTCTTTTTTTTGAAATGCGGGCATATGGTAGTTTCCCAACATAGGGGGGCCCCAATATGGACCCCTAAATTTTCTAATCCTTATTATATGGACCCCCCCAAAAAAGTACACCTAATTTTGGGAAACCCTCATATCAGGGCAGCTGTTCGGATGAACCTGCAGGAGACCGGATTCCACGCAGTCAGCGTGCACCCCAATTGCATGACGCCACTGCTTCCGGTTGTGCTCATCCGGGGAGCCCTGAAGATCCAAGTATACAAATAATACCAAGCTTAGGGTGTAGGGTTACATAGGGGTTATATAGGGGTTAATTATATAGGGATCCAAGTATACAAATAATACCAACATTGGGCCTGAAAGTCTGTAAATATTGCCTTCATTGGGCTATTTGGATCCCTAGGGGAAGTTCTCAGAAGTAGAGGTCCCTTTCTTGGGGTTCTTCTGAAAAGATCCTCTCTGCACGTTTCTTTTCCTCCTTTGCAACCGCACATTGTAGACGTGTGATTATCATCATCATGCGGAGCATCATGCCCCAGTTGAGCACCACAATCGCTGAAGTCGCATCATGATAGCTTCCATGACAGCGGTGTGTCTCAGCTTTCTGCTACCAGGAAATGTGCCAGCAAAGGAAGGGAGGTCATAGTTCTTAGATCGTGCGGAGTCTTGATAGTGATGCATGCCTTCATGAAGCCACAGGCTCCATACCCTCAACCCTGAAGCCCTGAAATCATCCTCAACCTTTTTGTGCGTTTTCGGCGTCTTCGACGTGGCGTCCTACACTACAGTTGTCTGACAGCATGGTCCTTGTAAGAGTGTGTTCCAAAAAGATACTCATGCTTGTGTGACAGGCCAATTTCACAAGCTACTGGCGGTTAGTAGGGTGCAAGGGAATAACTAATCCCTAGATAGTCCTTATATGTTTTATTCCCCTTTTTCCCTACTAACCCTAAACCTTGAACCCTATTACATATATATATATACATATGTATATATACACCCAGTAAGACAGTCTGCATGGAGCAGGTATTTGGATGATAAGGGCGTCGCCAAGAGTTTGGAGGCTTGGCAGAGGGGTTGGGTGCCTGTCGGACATCTGTTTCTACAGTGTGGGGTATGCGGGATCTATACGATCTCTTTATAACCCCTACCTAACCCCTGGTACTTGATCATCGCTTAAAGGTCATCCTCTGCGTCCTCCTTGGGCTCCTAAGCCTTGCTGCACAGGAGAACATCCGGGTCTCCGGCCTCGTGCAGGTTCGCGACTGAGGTTTAGGAGTTAGGGCTTATAGGGATTACCTGCAACTCCAAATACCTTCAGTTCCATGCGTTATAACTAGAGATTGGTGGGTAGTCGCCACTTCGCTATAAGGAGTTGGGGTCACAGGTTGGGGGAGCTTATAATCCCATAGCAATGAAGGAAACCCGGTTTGTGCAGGCTTTATGTAGCATTTTAGTACTCTGGTCCCCAATAGAGAGTAAGATTCAGCAAGATTATAATCTCTTCTTGGACCGGGTATTGTCTGAGAAATGCATATTGTTACTTGGTTCAAACACCAAAAGAAAAGTCTGCTCCACTGACATCCTGGGCGGTTTGGGACTCTCATGCCACTAAACCTAGAGCCTAAACCCTAAACCCTAAGCCTAAAGCCTAAAGCCTAAACCTAAAGCCTTAACCCTGCTTATCCACTGGATGATGTAGTGCAGGTAAGCCCACCGCCGATGTTATCTTTGCAGCCATCAAAACCCCCCCCCAAAAAAACCCAGACCGTCATCCCTTAGCTTAAAACCCGAAGCCTCAACCATGGCTACAAGGTTCCTGAAAATATTTTTTAATTTCTGTTACCTCCAATCCTAATATTTAGCTGAAATTATAATTTCTACTGGGGTTCCAATTTTTTAGAGATGGCTCTGGCCCTAACTTAGGCCCCCAAGTATGTATGAACCGTCTCCTTGTTTTGTGTATATCTTTATGTTTTCTTTGGGGGGGTGGGGGCTGGGGTGCAGGTATAGACCCCAAACTCAACACCCTACACCCTTCAAAAAGGAGCTGGACAAATTAGACCCTGATCCCAAACTGAACGATGAACCCGAGGCCTGCGGCTATCCCGGGCAGACCTTCCGAGGGGACTGCTTCATCGGCAGGGTCTTCGACGACACCCAGGCAGTTGCCTGTTGGTGCTCAAGGGGGAGTGGGGGGAGCGAATATAGGCTTGAGGGTTCAGGATTTACGGTTTAGGGTTCAGCATATAGGGCTTAGGGTTTAGGATTTCGGGTTTCAGGCAGTTTCGGGTTTAGTGTTTAGGGTGGGGGAATGAATGTAGGTACCACTATAGGGGCAGACATGGGACTTATGCAGGGATGATTATACCCTAAGGGTCCAAGTTCCTAATAATCATATACTTACCCGAAACCTGTGCTACAATTACTATTACCAAAGCACTAAGTACCCAATTATTGGGTACATGGACCCTAAACCCTAAACCCTAAATAACCCTATATAATCCTATATATCCCTTTAAAGGGACCCAATTATTAGGTACATGGACCCTTAGGGACAGGGATTCACTCCTTGACTCTGCCTGAAGTGGCAGCAAGGGTTTGATGTTACCCTGAAGAGGTCGAGGTACGTAACGTTTATGGATGTGATTGTTGAAGAACCAAAGGTCACACTTTAGGCACTTGGAATCTTAGGTTTTTGTTTGATGTCCCAAATGCAGCGGAAATTCTCTGATTACCAATTAGTTCTTCCGTTTAGGCATCGTGTTTGGGATCCTATGGTTTCCGGTTTGTCTTCCAAAGGCTTGAAGGTACTCTGCAAAAATACTCACGACTTACTGACGCCTTTACCTTTGGCTTTTGAATGGCTAACAAGTATAAGCAGTTCTGACTCAAACTGTTGCAACTGTGTCTTCTCTGGCCGCCCTCCTGAGGACGAGTGGAGGAGGATGGACTTCACCCTCAAGGCTCTTGAGCTCGTTCGTGCTGAGAGTTTTGAAATGTAAGCCTACAGAATCAGATTTGTTTGGAGAGCAAAATCCAGGTAAACGTCCAAGCGAGCCTTGGGCTAGCTTTACCACCAGTTGGTAGGTTTGTTTAGGGTTTAGGAAATCTTCGAAACGCCTCTGCTGTCAGAAGCTGTTGCGGCAGGATTGCAGTACAGACGCCGACTGGATTCAGCAGACGAAGTTGCAGCGCGCCAACAGGCGCTACTTTTCAATTTAAGGCAAATTTAAGGAGGCCCGAAAGGGGTCTCTGCATATGGAGGCCCCATATTAGGAGGCGACATCGGACCTTAGAACCTTGGGGAGGCCTCAGGGAGGTCCTGGAGAGTCCCTAGCTATGTGCCCCTGTTATATGGGTGATTGTCAAAATTATGGTCCCTTTTTGGATCCCTATTATAATACGGCACCTATTATTTAGGGTACCGAAAAAAAGGCCATAATTTTGACAACCACCCATATGGGCCGTCCTTAAGGACTGCTCAGTTGAAGTGGGCGGTGATGGTGCTGCAGTGTGAACGGGGGCATGCTCTTGGGATTCCTTATACTGGGTTGCTGTTAAGG